TATAATCCCCGGTCGACGACCTTTCGTGATCGCGTTCCCATAGCGTAAAATAGCAGCTTAATGCTGCTGTGTTTCGTATTGTGAATATAAACTAATTTTTATACGTGGTAGAGCCATGCTGCAGTTATATTAGTAGTATAGTTGTAGCACAGAATACCAGTGTAAAATAGTAGCTTAATGCTGCTGTGTTTCGTATGGTGAGTGTAGAGAACCGGAGATTCTTTTAACTAGAAACGAGTCACTCCATCTTAGACCTCACGGTTGACAACGCATCTGCATTTCGATTCGTTGAATAGTAAATGTAGATGTCTATGGGCTACAGCATCCCCTTACCATTAGGTGGACTATGTGCTCGTTTGCCTTGGCTCGTATGTCACCCTTATTCTATAAAAATGGCTACCAGCATTAAAAGGTGCAAGATTTCAATTCGTCATAAAGTGTGCAATGGTCATACAGTCGCAAACTTCATATTTTTATTGTATTTTGTCACCAAAATAAACTTTGGAGTAAACCTAACCTAACCGCAAGCCGATGCTCTCGTATTATCAAACAATTACTTAAAGCGGACTTAGGCACGTACAAATGATTATACTTTTCTAAATTAAATCACTAGTCTCGTGAACGAAACGATTAAATAACAATTATGGAAAACCTAAAGTATTTTATCAGTTTTGACGCCATGGAGTGTGTTGATCTTATATTTATTTATTGTTTTTTTGTATCAAATTTATACTGCAGAAATGAACGGCAGAGTCGAAAAAAGACGTGCTAAGCAAAAATTTATCGCACAACTTGGCGATATGTTGAAAATGGGCGAAATTAGGTATATGAATGTGGAGAAAGCGAGAGAGGTGTGTCAGGATCGTGCCAAATGGAAATCTGTAGTCTCTACCTACCCCTTTGGGTGACAGGCGTGAGTGTTTATGTTATGTTTTATGCTTATGTTTATAAATAAACTTAAAACTTTATTTATAAATAAACTATACTAAACGCATTCCCATCCTACCGTTACAGTTACAGTTACCTTTACAGCCTATCCACAACAAAGTCCACTGCTGAAAATAGATCTCATTAGGGGGGATATATTTGCCATAGTTACTACGCTGCGTAAGCGGATTGGCAACCGCAGTTTATTTTTATTTTTAGTCGTTATTAAAAGGAGGCTGCTGGCCATCCCCTGATTTGTTTCCTTCTGTCGCATGGTTCGACACCCACAGGATAATATGGTGGATATTCTTACGCCGCCACTACATGGTAAACTGAGCAAACTTAAGGGGATAGAGTAAGTCAGCTCAAATTCTAATTTCGTCCCCACTTGCCCACGCGTCGTATGCTATGTACCGACATGTTTGTAATCACTAATACTATAAGTAGAAATCGTTATATATGTTTCTTAACACCAAGCCAGTCGCTTCTTATTTTTATTACGGTTATTTCCCGTTTTAATTTTACGTCGTCCTGTTGCGTAATGTATATTCTGATCGTAAGCGACACAAACGGCCCCAAGTCCCCGGCGGCCCCGCTATTCCTGGCTACAGTGGTGACCATGGTAACGGCGGGGCAGGGGGTGCTAAGAATCTCCGGTGGAGATTCGGTTGCCACCTACGACGACTCGACCTGACAACGTATAACGCACGCACCCTGAGGACTGACGAGAAGATACTAGAGCTGGAAGAAGAGGTAGACAAGTTGCGCTGGCATATTATTGGATAATCTGAGGTTCGAAGAGAGGGGGAGGACACGGTAATCCTCGAGTCCGGCAACTTGTTCTATCACCGGGAGGGCGACCATCTGTCCCAAGGAGGTGTCGGATTTATCGTCCACAAGTCTCTCGTCAACAACGTTGTAAAGATTGGGAGTGTGTCGACGAGGGTCGCGTACCTGATACTCAGAATCACCAAACGGTATTCGCTGAAGGTCATACAGGTCTACGCACCAACCTCGGCACATCCCGATGAGGAGGTGGAGGAAATGTATGAGGATATTTCTAGAGCCATGCATTCCTCCAAAACCCACTACACGGTGTTGATGGGAGACTTCAACGCAAAACTGGGCACAAGAGAAGGCGGTGAGCTGAAGTTAGGGAATTTCGGAGTAGGGCAACGGAACCGTAGGGGCCAGCAGCTTGCTGACTTTATGGAGAAAGAGGAACTCTTTATGATGAACTCTTTGTTCCAGAAGCGGCTCCACAGGAAGTGGACCTGGTCGAGCCCCGACGGTTCGACAAAAAATGAGATTGACTTCATTATGACGACCAGACGCCAACTGTTCAGTGATGTCTCAGTGATCTCAAGGGTGAAAACCGGCAGCGATCACCGAATGGTTAGAGGCACACTGAACCTAAACGTTAAGTTGGAGAGGTCTCGTGAGGTCTAATGAAGTCAACGCTCCGTCCCCCTCGTGCTCTAATCCAGAATCCCGAGACTTTTCAGCACGAGTTACGTAACCGCTTTCAGTGCCTAGAAGATTGCAATGCAGTGGACGATATGAAAGACAAGCTCGTGGAAACTGTCCATGCGGTCGGAGCTAAGTTCTGCAAGACCCGCCGCAGAAGAAAACAAAAACTCTCCGATCACACTCTTAATCTCATGGCTGTTAGACGGGAGATGAGGCTGCAATCGTCAACAGATTTGACAGCATACAGGCAACTGAACAAACAGATCTCCAAATGCATGCGGCAAGACTTACGCAACTTTAATACTGCTCGTATTAAAGAAGCGATCGAGCGGAACCAGGGCTCCATGTCTTTGTCAAAGATCTGTCTGCCAGAAAGAGCCAACTGTCAAAGCTGAAGACTGAGTGTGGCAGCATCGTTTCCGGGACACCTGAGATTTTGAGTGAGATTGAGAGGTTCTATGGGCAGCTGTACACATCATCGTTGGAGCCACACGCAAGTGTAAGTAACGATACAAGAGCAAGTCTTACCCGACACTATTCCGATGATATCCCGGACGTCAGTCTGAGCGAGATTAGAATGGCTCTCCAGCACCTTAAAAACGGCAGGGCCCCAGGCGAGGATGGAATTACAGCGGAGCTTCTGAAAGCGGGTGGGACACCGGTACTTGAAGTCCTTCGGAAGTTCTTCAATACCGTCCTCCATGGTGGCACTACTCCGGAGGTGTGGAGCAGAAGGGCGGTGGTCTTGTTCTTTAAGAAAGGCGACAACGCTCTCTTGAAGAACTACAGACCGATTTCCCTTCTGAGCCGCGTCTACGTGCTGTTTTCGAGAGTCATTACGAATTGTCTCGCACGCAGACTCGACGACTTCCAGCCTCCCGAACAAGCCGGTTTCCGAAAAGGCTTCAGTACCATAGACCACATACATACCCTGCGGTAGATTGTACAGAAGACCGAAGAGTTCAATCTGCCACTTTGCCTGGCGTATGTGGACTATGAGAAAGCCTTTGATTCCGTCGAAATTTGGGCGGTGCTACAGTCCCTTCAGCGGTGCCAAGTTGACTGTCGGTATATCAAGGTGCTGAAGTGTTTGTACAGTAGGGCTACGATGGCTATCCGAGTACAGAACCAGAGTTTGAAACCTATCCAACTGCAGAGAGGTGTAAGACAGGGTGACGTTATATCCCCGAAACTCTTCACCGCTGCGTTGGAAGACGTTTTCAAGCTACTGGACTGGCAAGGATACGGTATTAACATCAATGGCGAGTACATCACTCACCTTCGATTTGCCGACGATATAGTCCTTATGGTAGAATCGCTGGAGGACCTTAGCACTATGCTCAATGACCTCAATGGTGTCTCCCAACGGATAGGTCTTAAGATGAACATGGACAAAACAAAGATTATGTTCAACGTCCATGTCACACCTATGCCGGTAGTTGTGGGGAGCACTATGCTCGAAGTTGTTGACGAGTACGTTTACCTGGGACAAATAGTCCGACTAGGTAAGTCCAACTTCGACCGAGAGGTCTATCGACGGATTCAACTCGGCTGGGCAGCGTTCGGGAAATTACGACACATCTTCTCGTCAAGTATATCTCAATCTCTGAAAACTAAAGTGTACAACCAGTGCGTGTTGCTAGTGATGACTTACGGATCAGAGACGTGGTCCTTCACTGCTGGCCGTATGAGGACGCTCAAGGTCGCTCAGCGAGCTATGGAGAGGGCTATGCTCGGAGTTTAAAACCAGAGTGACCGACATAGCCCAACGGATTAGTAAGCTGAAGTGGCAATAGGTCAGCCATATAGCTCGAAGAACCGATAACCGATGAGGAAGAAAGGTTCTCGAGTGGCAGCCTCGTACCGGTAGGCGTAGTGTAGGGCGACCCCCCACTAGATGGAGTGACGACCTGGTAAGACATGCAGGAAGTCGATGGATGCAGGTGGCTCAGGACCGTGCTTTGTGGCATTACTTGGGGGAGGCCTATGTTCAGCAGTGGACTTGTGAAGGGCTGTAACGATGATGATGATGAAGCGACACAACCTCCCCGTTCAAAGGCCGAAGTGAAGTGACCGTGCGGCAGGAATCACGCTTCAAAAGGCCGATAGTTTAGGTAATTTCTTTTTACAGTGAAAATAATGGTGTTTAAAAAAAAAGTAAATAACATAAGCACTGCTTTATAGTTAGTTCAGTTAGTATGCAAAGTTTCATGATCTTATTTAAAGTATTTTATAACAGCGGTTTATTGTTTATTTTGGAGGTAACTTTGGATTTTTTCTATCGAGAAAATTTTACGAAATCTTGTTTTCGTCTAACATAATCCTTAACATTAATCCTCAACTTTACCATATATTTATTTCAAAATTAATGCTGCAATATTATCGGCATAACGAAGGATCTTGCTAAGACATTTGAGATTATATTTCCCCTATGACATTTTAATATATGAAAAAGTAGACATATTTATGTGATAAAATAATGTATCGTGTAAACTTTTTGGCTGAATGCCTTATATCCCTTTTAAATTAGACAAAAAAATATATACTGTTAATTTCTCTGTACTGCTAAGGTTACCACAATAGAAGAGTACGGGGTGTACACGATGCTGCCAGCGCAGCAGCTGACGCCGATAAGCCCATGGCCACCCGACACCAACCTTTTGGACCGCATGGACGATCTGGCGCACAAAGGTAAAGGTAATGGTGACCACCATTTCTTTAATATTCGCAAACATGGATAGTATGTTAAAAAATTACCAAAGACTCACGTTTGAAAGTCTGTAAACCAAGCCATGCGCACTTTTGATCGTACAATACCTACTTTACGTCCGCCAAGTAGTGAGCTAATTTGATCAGAATTATGTAAACGTGTGTACCTATGAAAAAACTATTTTTTCGTTTTAAACAAAACCAAAGACACTATGCAATAGATAATAATATCAAAGACAAAGATATGCTCTTTTATTTTAAACCATAACCTGGCAATGTTTCTTAGAAAAAAAAAAAAGAAATCACTCTGAACTTTCGGCGTTCCACGTGTCATTTTGATGAAGGTGCTCCGTCTTTTTTTATAGAATTTTATATTTGTGTCTGGACTAAAAACGAAAGTATTATACTTTTTTATATTCCTTGTAATATAGTGAACACATATATATATATATATATATATAATTTGTGGTATAAAAAGTGAAAAGTAAATTGCCAAAAGTGCTTCAAAATCTGGAAGGCCCATTATGGCGGCTGGGTCATAAATGTGTTATTTTTCAAATTCTCATTTATTTTTAGTGTAAAATGTAAGTAAAAATTAGTTTTCTTACATATTTCAAATAACTTGACGTTGAATTTATTTCAAATTCACACAAAACTATTTTAGAAATATTGTTCTAAATGTCACACAGATAAAATATTATTATTATTATTTTTTTTTAATTTTTTTAATATTTTAATATTTTGGTATGAGTAACGAATGAAAACACATAAAACATAAAAATATACATATTTCCAAACATTTTCATATAAATTTCTCTAAAAACAAAAGTGTAGAATTCAAATTAGTAGTAATTTTGTCACTAAAATTGAAGTATATACCACTACTATGCTATACAGGGTAATTTACGTATTTTATTACAATTGCTAGCAACCAAAAATAATTTTATTCGATAGTTTATACATTCAACAAGAATTCCTGTAAGTTTTATCCATAAATATTGTCTCAAAGTGAAAATATAGCAAAATTTGCAATATAGCAAAAAATTTGCTAATTTGCAAATTTTCCCGCCATTACGGTCTCGAGCGAACGGGAGTATAACATGTCGCGCGCTGTCAGAGCTTACAGGTATTGTACAGAAAAAAGTCGCTTCTTATATTTCAATGTTACGTTCTTTGGTTTTCTTATCGAATTTTGTTAGCTTTATCAAAATGTAAATATACGCCCCAATCAATGTCCCACACATTGGGTGTATACTTGCATTTTTGGCGCAGGACTCCTCTTATTTCAGCGAGTATAATATAGTAGGCAGTTCACCGCGCTACTTTAATGTGTATCCTAGGAGTTATTCTATTTCGAAGAATGCAGGTGCAGGCTTCCTCGCGACAATTTGGTTACCGTCGAGTACGTAATAAACAGCACTTAATATTTCTGTGACAATTTATTAAACCAGTTACTTAAGTTTATGTTTTAAAAAACGCACGGGCAGCATATGCGTTATGATTCTTAATCGAGGATAAATGTAAATGTCTATGGGCCACAGCATTCACTTACCATCAGGTGGACTGTGTGCTCGTTTGTCACCCTTATTCTATAAAAAAAATTAAATATCTTCATTATTCTGATGTAAGGAATTATACCGTGCAGTCAAAAATTCCATCACCCCGTCTTGTTCCCTTGCGATCGTAATAGGTAACATAAAATACTTATATCGGTGACTGTGATCGAAAATCCTCCCCACAACAAGGAAAGCCCATATCAAGTTAAAATCTTGCCAATCTCTTAGTCTTAGTAGCTCAGGGGCTAAGCGCTCGACCTAAATTTCATAGTACGCGAGTTCGATCACCACCGTCACCATGAAATTAAGTGAAAGCTGATTTAACGCGTACTCGATGGTAACGAGGTGAGGAAACCTGAGCTACAGCCTATATACATCCTTCTTTCATTTCTGGTAGGGTTTTAGGGCAAGGAAATGTCAGTCGCGTTGCCCCAACGCATGTTGGCGGACTTCACACGTCTTCGAAATATTTTTTTTTTTTTTTTGGCTTCTTTAAAGTTAAAGTTATAGTTACAGCCTATATATATATATATATATATATATATATATATATATATATATATATATATATATCCCACTGCTGGGCACAGGCTGCCGCAAGGACGTTTTCGCCCAAATATGTGTTGACGAACTTGTATTCGAAATCCTAAGGATTTTATCCGCGTTTAATTTAACTCATTTTTGATTTCCGACGTTATACCTGTACATTATGTATCTATACTATTTTACTTTTACTGTTTTTAAATGAAAAAAGCGACATTCATTTTAAATTCATATTAAATTTACTTTACAAGTCTATTACCATATTTAAAGACCTGTGTAACACAACCTGTTGCATTTACCGTCCATTATATATGAATATATAAACGCGTGATTAATTGGAGTAAGCAGGATTGTGGTGCGACAGGTCACAGCGGTGTTAACCAGCTCGGCGGCGTGTTTGTAGGAGGCAGACCGCTGCCCGACTCCACGCGGCAGAAGATCGTCGAGCTGGCACACTCCGGCGCCCGACCCTGCGACATCAGCCGCATCCTGCAGGTCTCCAACGGCTGCGTTTCCAAGATACTTGGCAGGTTAGTTACTTACTGCGTTGTGGCGGTTTAAGAATATGCAATATTCCAAATCAACCCGTAGGTGTCGTAAGGGGCGACAGAAGCAAAGAAAAAAACTGCGTTCGAGAACCCGTTTGCCGAGCGTGGCACCTATGGCAAATATCCCCCCGGTAAGGCAATATATGGGGGAGGCCTATGTTCATCAGTGGACTTAAAAAGGCTGCAACGGTAATGGTAAATGATATACTATTTGTTTTGCTACTACTACTTGTATCTTTGCGTAAAATACATACTGCTACCTTTCGTATAGTGAATTTCATTCTTAAGGGTGCTATCACATCAGTGTTTTGATTCTTGTCTAAATAGATATGTGTTTACGGGTCACAGCATCCACTTACATTACATACATAGGAGAGCCACGCTGCAGCTCTTGTGGTTGTAGTATGAATGGGTCGGCTCGACCGGGGAAGGACCACGCTCTTACAGAATACTAGCGTAAAATAGCAGCTTAATGCTGTTATGTTTCGTATGGTGAGTGTAGAGAGGAGGCCCGTTTTACCGGAATCGAGGCATTCCATCTTAGTCCCCAGGGGTGACAACGCATCTGCATTTTGATTCTTAATCGAGGTTAAATGTAGGTGTCTATAGGCCGCAGGAGCCGCTTACCTTCAGGTGGACTGTGTGATCGTTTGTTACCCTTATCCTATAAAAAAGATTGTGTCTGCGGGTCACAGCTTCCACTTATATTACATATATTATACTACACGTATGTGAACTCTTGGGAACTATGTGCTCGTATGTGAATCTTACTTCTATATAAACAAATACGTAGTACACGTTATTATCATGAAATTCAACTTGAATTTATTTCGATATTTTTAATTATCGACCGCAAAGTAATTACACCAGTCACCCATCTTAGCAATATTATACTGAAAATATCTAAAAAATGCAGCTGCAATCGTACACCGGTCTCTAACTGGTTGTAACCACAGAATTATAGTAACTGACCGCACGTCATAGGAAAACACCACGGAGCATGCCAACGAATATCCAGCATATCTAGAACTCTCTTTATTGGTCTGTTGGGTTTTAACTAGGGTCCGAATAGTTTTGCAGACCTTGACTGTGAAGGTTGGTTTTAGTTGACAGGCGTGAAACTTGAGCGCGTCTATTTTTGTAGTGACGTATGGCTTGTTTTTTTTTATTTTGTTTTGTAGATTTGCGGTTAAAATGTATAGACGTATTATTTAGTACTAGAATATATTAACACAATGTCAAGCAATAGCCATGTGTTTTATTATGTTATATCCGTCCACTCATGTTTTATTAACATTTGCGTGGTAGAGAAGTTTACCTGTCGTTTGAAGTTCAAAGCATTTTAAATAGTATTGAAATTAAGTATTTTGGAATATAATGTTTATACTAAATATTTAAAAATTATTTAAACTTTCTTATCATTTTGTTACTCTTCTAGGGACAAGACATCTGTGTTACAGAATGTAAAAATTGTAAAACTTTTAATAATTGTTATAATAATAAACTTAGGCAACCTAAAACTGTACATCTGTATCATTAGACTTAAGACTTACATACATACTACTTCAATCATATAACCTTCGAGTGGGGAGGAGAGTCCAAGAAGACAACGTTTAGCTAAAAATAGGTTAGATAGAGAAATTTGGGAAAGTATTGTAAGTAAGTATCGCCTTCACAAACAAAAACTCAATATTAATCGCGTTACAAAACACGACACAAAACCGTTGACACATTCCTTTTGTTAGAGTCCTACAGTACTACATAAACACGGGACCTGTAAATTGCAGAAGACATGAGATGGACTTCAAAATTTATAGTCGGTTTAACATTTAGCGATTACCTTATTCTACTCCAGAAATCAAACACCCAAAGTTTTAGATCTGTTGTTATTCTGATATACGCCAATATGGTTTATTCCCTACTTACTACAACTATAATATAGCTGTATTATAGTTGTAGTAAGTCCGAACGGGTCGGCTCGGAAGGACTACGCTCTGATAGAATACCAGAGTAATTAACAACTTAATGCTGTTGTATTTCTTACGGTAAGTGTAGAGAACCGGTTTCCCTTTTAATAGTAACCAGACATTCCTTCTTAGTTAGTAATTAGATTTGAACTTGGTAGAGCTTGGTATGCTGCAGCTATATTATTGGTATAGTTGTAGCACGAATGGGTCGGCTCAACCGGGGAAGGATCACGCCCTCATAGAATACCAGAGTAAATAACAACTTAATGCTGCTGTATTTCGTATGGTATGTGTAGAGAACCGGTTACCCCTTTTTAATGGTAAGAAAGCATTCCATCTTAGTCCTCAGGGGTGACAACGCATCCATATTTTAATGCTTAATTGAGGATAGATAGATGTAAATGTCTATAGTCTACAGCATACACTAACCATCAGGAGAACTGTGTGCTCGTTTGTCACCCTCATTATATAAAACAATATGACGACAGCAACAGATTGTTAATTATATTTGATTGCAAAAACAAAATATTTACTAGACTTTTCTCAATAGATCACTTTGTTAGAAACCTTACAAAATCATTTGGCCAATATAGCCGATAGTGCCCGATTCAGACCGTATCGCATTTTTGTGACATTACATCCTAAATCTTTCCAAGTAGTGTTCAAATACGCGCTTAGAAACATTATATACCTTGATACGTTTATACTATAATTATATATTTTTAATTCTCATGCACTTTATAAAAATAACCCGACGACAGCTGGCTGATAAAGTGAAAACACTGAAGACCCGGCATTGAACTTGATACCTTACGGGCCGTGGCAATCCGATACCGGTAGTTAGGCTACTCGTACCTCTTACTTCGACTTTGCTTATGCCTGTGCCCGTTTGGTCAATTTCTAATCGCGCAAATATACAAACACGTTTATAAATATATATGGTCCTTCCTGAGTTAGACAGAAAAGCATTGTGCAATAAACTTTACTAGATATGACTTCTGCTAATTACAAAAATATTATGAGGTAGTAAACCTATCAACCCATTATCGACGGCTGATTGAGTGTTAGCCTCCTTGAAGCATTTTGCAGAAAATTGTAAGTTCAGTATCTTCATCGGTGAAGTTCGGGTACATTTCTTGTAGCACTGTAGTGTGCCTATAAATGGCAATTTACGCTTGGTGCGTATTAACAGCGTCCGCAATTTGACTGAAATCAGCTTCCACCATATCCACAGACCTCAGCATCTCTTCACGCTCATACACGACAATACGCTCAGGCACGGAAATTACAGGAAAGCAACGATATTTGTTTTTGACAAGAAAATAAAAAGAAAACTGAAAATACTCTCAATTTTTTATATATATTAGGAAACCCCGTACAACGTAACCTATTAAAAATTTCCTCCTTATTACGAAAAGCTTTTGAATTTTAGCTTAAACTTTTAAATTTCGAACCATTATTAATGTAGTTTGAACTTCTAGTGGTCAGTATTTTTTCTTAAAATAAAATAAATATTTTAAATTATATAAAACTCTATTTAATAAGTTAATACCAAGTCACGCCACGCATTTGAACCAAACAATTTGCTTCGTTATTTATCATGCGTACAGCAAAGGAGTGAAAAATATTGCCAGCATCTGTCGTGTCATCCGATTGCTTTGTAGGTTTTGGTTTTTATAAGTGGGTTATAGCATATTGGTATCTATCACCACTTACCATTAGGTGTAAAAGTAGTGAAAGGAATACTAAGTACAAGCAGGCCCGGCAGACGTTATTCTGCCCTTTTTGGATGGTTACGCGATGAGTTTCATTTTCATACACACACACCACACACTTTTCTACTCTTCTTCAACTTCATATACGCAATAAGCATAGCTAAATCCTCTTTATATTTAATACAACCACCACAACCATTACGACAATAAACTTAAATAAAAAATAAAAACATAACCCTTCTTTTGTTACTCTTCCTTAAGCGGATAAAAAGCCTATATGTTATACGCCATCATTTACTGCCTACACGCCAACTTTTAAGGAAATCCATACAATATATTTTGCGTGAATCGTGAACAAATAATTTTTTAACAGATTTATTATATGTATAGATAACAGTTTAAAGATAAATAGTTGCTTGTTCTCTAGACTTTGTTGAGTATATTTTTAAACACACAACTATTTTATTATATCTATTAAGATTTTTATGTATTATGTATATTAATACATAATAAGAATACCTCTCTATAACACGCTGAGTGACTTTGGGCCTTTTCACGTGCACAAAATTAAGAAAAGTCTTGGTTAGTTAGGTTAACTCTATCAAAATTATTTTAGACGTGGTAGCGTGACTTACCGTCTCGTTCAATAAAGACATCAATAAAAATCGTTCTATAAAAATATTTTTGTTTGGTATACCACTAAACTTTTTTATTATATATTTTTGGATCAAAGCTATAAAAGTCTATCCTCGATCAAAAATCGAAATAAGAAGCGATGTCACCCTCAAGAATTAAAATAAAGTACTTTGTTACGAGTAAAAAAAAGAGTCTGGCTTAGGTTTTCTAACTTGCCAAACGAAACACAGCAGCATTAAGCTGCTAATTTACGTCATTCTGTCAGCAAACTCATCGGGTAAAGGACTTCACGGTTGAGTCGATTTATCCGTGCAGCCGTAACTCAGTAATTCGTGGCTCTACCACGTTAAAGTTGTTGACATATTCTATATTTTGTGAAGGACTTGTTTGCACTAATTTGACCATAGAACATTTTAAATAATTTTAAACCAGTAATTATTTCTTATATTTACGCGAACACTACACATTATTTAAAACTGCTTTTATGGATTTTATCGTGTTTAATTTATTTGATTATTAATTCCTGACGTTTCGGATGCTTTCCATGGTCCCCTGTGACCATGGGTGAGCTTTAAACCAGGGTCTAAAACTGCACTAAACTATGATTTAGTATGAATAATATTGCTTATAATTGACGGATGTTATCTTTATTCAATGTTACTGCATAGGCCAAAGTGCGGAGGCGCTGTGAAGACTCAAACTAACACAACAATATTGAGGCATAGGACATACATATCGACTGCAAATTCAAACTCTGTGCGACATATCCGTAGTTTGAAAATATATATAAAATTAAATACGAAATCTTAATGACTATTTTTCATAAAGCCTTCTTTTCTCAGGTATTACGAGACCGGCTCCATCAGGCCAAGGGCTATCGGTGGGTCGAAGCCCAGGGTCGCGACAGCGGAGGTCGTGAGCAAGATCGCTCAGTACAAACGTGAGTGTCCTTCGATCTTCGCCTGGGAGATTCGGGATCGTCTACTCAGTGAAGGCGTATGCACGTCAGATAATATACCCAGTGTAAGTACAATACATATTAACATGTGCTTAACCTATTAAAACACCCGTTTCACTTCTTAATGGTAAAGTTTCGTTGTTATTGAACACTTAGCTACAAATGTGTCTTGCTCGCAGTCTTGTTAGTTATAGTGAGAAACTCGACAAATTTAAAGTGACCTCTTTACTTATTCGCCGTAAGAAATATTGCGTTATATATTTATATACAATTCTCCATAGTGAAATCGATTTTGATTTACATATTACACTAGATTAGTAATTACCGCGCCAAAGCGTTGCCATTGCCACTGCACATATGGCCACAACCGATGCCTAGCTAAAGAGACTGCCGCACGGATCGTGAGGGTGTGATATATATATATATATATATACTCGTCTAATGAATAATGGTAGCGTGCTAATTCTCTTTCATGTTTCTTTAACAGCTATAGTTACCTATTTACATAGGCGACCATATGCCATCGTGCTCCGAAAAATTTGCTTTAATTTCGTATATAAATAATGAATATACGTCATGAATATATGACTGTAACAAAGTATTGCCTGGGCACACCTGGCTGCGGAGAGGTTGCGGCCCAGTGCGCTCCTGCAACCACACTTTTCCAAGTTCTCCACATATATTCCTGTGAAGTGGTATACTATTTATATTAAAAATAGACAAGTGAATGAAATTTTTTCGAAAATATTAATTAATATTATTTTCATTAAAAATACTTGAACATTTTGATAGGCATTCTAGAAAAAATGTATTCTCCCACTAATAATTATATATTAAAATTTGATTTTGATTAAAAACTACATGAACGTAGTAATCCTGCAGTCGGATCTTAGACGAAACAAGGGACATTTCAGTGTCATTCTTCTTATTATCCATGTACAACAGAAGACTTTTCTCGACTTCAAGCTAATAACTTTATTAAAATCAATTTATGACCCTCTTAAGTAGACTAAGGACTATCATAAGCAAATATATCTTCAAGCTTGAATGTCATCTAAATATTTGCATTAAAATATCATCCAATATTTTCCCACACTTAGGGGTGAAAGAGTTTTCTTCTATGACTACCTGAACCTATTTAAAAGGAAAATAATCTAATAAATAATAAACGTAATTCAATTGACGAAGATATTTATTTATTTTTATTTTATATAATAAGGGTAATTAACGAGCACACAATCCACCTCTTGGTATGGACGCCCATAGATATCTACATCTGTCTTCAATTAAGAATCCTCTTATGGAACTGCAAAGTGTTGCCAAACGGCAGTGCGAGTAACACTTTCTAATTCTTTGTAATATTAAGCTCCAGATTCCAGCTTAATTGAAACTGCTATTCGATTTATTTGAATAACCAATATCATTGTTAAGCAATTTTTTTAAAACGAGTTAGAAAGAGGTTTTTACGTGGTATAGCCAGGCTGCTATGTTATGGTTGTAGCACGAATGGGTTGGCTCGACCGGGGCAGGACCACGCTCTCACAGTATACCGGCTCATGCTGTGTTTCCTATGGTGAGTGTAAAGAACTGGAGACCCTTTTTACTGGAATCGAGGCATTCCATATTAGTCCTCAGGGGTGACAACGCATATGCATTTTGATTTTTAATTGAGGATAAATGAGGATGTCTATGGGCCACAGCATCCACTTACCATCGGGTGGACTGTGTGCTCGTTTGTCACGCAATGCTATAAAAAAGAGGGATCATTATCGAAAAGAATAGGCCTTAATTTATCTCCTCACCTTTCATCCGCGTAACTTACATAATATGTAACTAATTATTGCACAATGAATATTGAAAGTTATTATTACTATTATTACTACTACTGTAGCTGCTAAAACTAACGGTTTACTGGACTAATTTCCGCAAAAATCATTTTATCTAATTGAATTTTTATTTTAATTAAATTTTATAAAATAATGCATAAAAATCCCTCTATATATCGTCTATGTACTATCAGTTGTAAACTAAAGAATGATTATCAAAAGTATAATATAGTATAATTGAAGACATTTAAGGTATAATGTAACCAAATGGAATAGTGATCTTTATCAAGTAAAGTAAAGCAAAGTTACAACATATATACGTTCCACTGCTGGGCACAAGTTAGTGTCCACCAGCTGACCTAATGCGTGTTAGTGGACTCCACATGCGTTTGAAATTTAATAATTTTTTATTATTGTTTCTCAGACATTCAGGATTCCTCACGATGTTTTCCTTCACCGCCGAGTAAGTGGTCAATAAATTAGCAATTAAAATTGTAATTTATTGGTGCCGGCGGGGATCTAACCCGAGTTGCTACGTACTGTGAAAATTACAGGAAGCAGTTATATTTTTTTTTCTTTTAATCGTTTATCTACATAATATGTGAATGTAAAACCGTTTATGTAGGTATGTGAAAAAGAAACAGACTAGTTTAACAACACACTTATTATAATTCATTCAGAACAAAAAAATATAAAGAAACGGGTTTTACAAAATATAAGTCTGACAAAATATATTCCGACGTTTTACCAAGACGCCATTCTAAAGTATGAAAAATACGAAAGGGCGACTCGTAAAGTACAATGGTGCCACCATATCTATAGTGAAGCTATATACAGAATGCTATAACGCCTTATCTTTCCCCAGCACTATACAGAACTCCCCTTTTTGTTGCCCCCTCCCCTTCGCCTTCGCTCCGTGGCAAAACAATATGACGTTATAACTTTTTTCTTCAGATTTTTCCTTTTTGAATACGGAGCCGCTCCCTACTGGGGCATCCTTTAGGCAGAGCCGATACCGTACTGATATAGAGGTTGATGCTAAGTGTGTCAGTATTTCTTACGTCTTTAAAACTTTATTTGTTTTATATCTGTCAAACAATAAAAAAAAATCAAATAACCAACTTTATATTCTAATCTTATAATTAATTCATGTTTTATAATCAACTCTTTAATGACGAAAACAAATGTACCGATGTGAATAAACACTAAATTAAAAGCCGTAAAATGGAAAAAAGACGACATTACGCGATTCGTATTGCAAAAGAAATTCATAAACACCCTTTTAGATGTTACCCCTCGCGAAATACTTAACATAAATTAATTAAGAAATTCGCACAATCATCCTGTTGCTGACGGTTTGACGAAAAAAAATACGGTATTAAGTACTCTCCACCAAGAATATCGAGAAAAACATAAAACCGTAATGGAGGGTAAGGAACGAGAGGAGGATATAAAAATTTTAATGAGAGTGAAAGAGTTGGCCGACTGTCTCTTTTCCCATCGTCTGAAGGGTGGAGGGGAAAAGAGACGATTTTGACACGGTATGAATAAAGAAAATATGAAGGCTTTTGTTGCCGTAAAAATTCCTGTACAGGGGATAAAGTCTTTAAGTTATCAGAGGGAGCCGTTAAGGGAGGTTTAAGATAGGTCTGTATAGAAAGGTGCTTTATATGGGGTGGTTTCATCTTCGTATTTATTGAGTATCGGTAAATATACAATATGTAGAGTGTTTCCATATGTATATTGTTTATGAGGGTTCTTAAACGTTGAATATATTAACGTCGAGATCGTTCGGTCTGACATACGTCATAGACGTCTGATTTCGTTAAACTGGATGGAAGCGCTCGAATTAATATTTATGGAAATTGTGAAAATATGAATTCGATATCTGGCTTATTTTATATTTCTTGATGAAATCGATCACAGCGTGATATCGAAATATTATTTTCTATTTTCCATGTGAATTTATAAAAACAATATTAAATTTAACTTCTTATGCGTTTATGAATTTACCTTGGTATCATCGCATTTAGTATTTATTCTTATTGTTGATTTATTTTAGGGCTGATTTTTCAATTGCCAGATAAATTGCAACTACTTTTACGGATTTTATTGTTTAATTTTAATTTTTAATAGACGTTTTGGGTGCTTTATAGCACCCAAGACTCACGAGGGAGGGGGGGAGACTGGAACTGAAAATAGAACATTAACAAATAAAAAAATTTTTAATTGCTTAAATAAAATACAGTTAAATTATTTAATTTTTATATTTACTCGTAGTCAGGTTATAATTTGATGAATAAGTGTTATCTGATGATTGCAGAATCAACACTGAGGAAAATACCAGGTAAACCTTGACGCAATCAATAAACTTAGCCCGGTAGCTAATTTAGCCTTTTGAATTTAGCCTTTTGAATTTAGCCCGATTTCAAAACTATTTGCAACACAATTTAATATTACGTACATTCAATTTTTCTTTATCAAACCTTATGGAAATATCGATGTAGATGATAGCTTTATTTATTTTCCAAACCCTTGTAGACTATTACCTATAGATGTTATTTTACTTATGCTTTTGTATTCAAGTTTGGAATGATAAATAAATTAACAAGTGGTAAAATTGAATTTTTTTTACAACCAACTTCAATATAAATAAAATGAGAACATGATCAATGTAGTTAAATATGAATTATTAAGTATAACTCAATTTTATATGGAACCACAGGCGAAGCACCAGCTTTCAAATAAAAAATAAACATCAAAATTGGTTATCCTGGAAAAAAGCTATGAAGTTACAACACATAAAAAATTATAGTCAAATGGAGTTTTTTAAATCGGTTAAAATAGATAACGATCAGATTTGAATTAAGGTTGTTGTCACATAGAATCTCCATTAATATTAAGCTTAACGTTGATTACATATGTAATAAATATGGCCATGTAATGGCGGCGTTAGAAAATCCACTCCCTCATATCATCTCGAGGGTGCCGTGAGCGGCTGCATCTTCCTGTGACCAACCCGGCTGCCAAACATGGAATTTAAGACTCTCCAACACGTTTACAAATCTGTGGGAAATGCCTATGTGAATTAACCTTACTGCTTCACCGCTTTACCATCCTCCTGCTCAGCCCACAATTAGCCCACTTGTTAATTCAGGCCTTTAGACGTAGTAATATCTAGAGGCACGATAGTGCCCCCTCCAAGTCGAGCAAAAAAGCGGCACGGCCGTACCATACCTTTCTCGAAGCAATTCAGGCCATTTTCGAACTTCGTTGTG